CCTTACAGCTCTAACCTCAAATGACCATTAATGATTATTGATCTATTTTAAATGTCTACACACCATCAAATGGCCAAACTTCTGCTTAAAAACTTTTAAAAATCTTTAAAAAGAACCACTACCATTTCTACCATTTCACCTCCCTCAATTAAAACTTTATAACTTACATCAATTGTCCATAATTGACTATAAGGACAATTGATAAGACATCTTAAATTATCACCATATTATGGGAAATTAGAATGATGCAAAATGTGTGAGACTTATTTGTAATTTCTAGAATGTACAATACAGACACCAACACACATAGGGGGGATTCGGACCAAAACATGGAGTGGGCTGTTCAAATTCTTTTTTTTTTCTTTTTTTAAATCAAGAGAATTGCCAAGAAAATATAAGTGTCAAACTTCAAGCCACCTGTCAGGAACAAAGATTCATGACTGTCAAAACACCACATGCAATAAAAGTCAATCTTTATTTTTTCCTTCTCAAATTGAGGTATGATTAGTATTTATCTTAACATTGTAATTTAAAGTCTCCTTTCTTAAAAATAGACTAAAAGGAAAGATTAACCACACAATATTGTCGCTTTTTTCCCTCTTAATCTAATTTCACAAATTTTCCTGTTTTCCATTCTCGTCTGTCATTTAAAGGGGAAGTCCACCCTGAAATTAAGTTAGTTTTAATAGGAGTAGAAAAATGAGAGAAACAAGTCAGTGAAAGTTTGAGCAAATTCCGATTAAAAATAAGGAAGTTAGGATTTTTGAAGTTGTGATCAATCAAACACAAATTGGCAACTCTATGACGTATCATGCGAGCTCAACTTCCATTTGCTCAGTACTAAAAAAATCTAAAATTTTCATTTTCCCTCAAGAAAAATTTCAACCATACATGCACCCTAAATATAATAATTGCAAATATGTTTCTATACTCCCCTGCAAGGAACAAATATATATTCCGTCATCAATAACGAAGAAAACATGATTTTATGGAATATTATGCACAAAGCAAATGAAGGAGAGCTCGTATGATAAGTCACAGAGTTGCCAATTTGTATTTGATTGATCACAACTTCAATAATTCATAACTTTCTTATTTTCATTCAGAATTTGCTCAAACTTTCACTCACCTGATTTTCTTATTATTCTGCCTCTATCGAAACAAACTTATTTTGGGGGTGGACTTTCCCTTTAAAAAAAATACAACCCTTTCACGTATCATCATTTCTCAAACCCTTTTTTACACCATTTTATTCCTATTAGTTTGTCCATGACGTTTAATTTTTTTATTTTATTATTTGATCTTCCTCTCCCCCCCCCCTTCCCCTCCCTCTCTCTTTCTCTCTCTCTCTCTCTCTCTCTTTCTCTCTCTCTCACTCTCTCTCTCTCTCCCTCACTCTCTCTATTTTACTTTGACTACTTTTCTTCCATTAATTTAACTCCCTTAAACGAACCTGGATTTCCTTGCCAACTAATCTATTTCAAAGAAATTTGTTATCTACCAATTCTTTTGACATCATTGAAGTTTACCCTCAGATCAGATTAGTTACAGACTCTATATATCTTGAAAATCAAGAAGTCCAACTGATGGCGACGTGTTCCAATTTGCTTTTCCAATCAGAGAAACATAAAAATGTGCAGGCAATCAATAAGAATGCACACTTGTATCTCTCATAGGGTGCGTTTATTGTGTCTTGCCACTAGATATATCGAACCCCACTATACAAACGTGTTTTGCGGGACGTCACGTTTATTGTCTCTTCACGATTCAAAATAAAGGCCTTGTCTCTGCCCAGCTGCTTTGCGCCGTTTGACCCGGGAAGCAGACAGTTTCTCGGAGGTCAACTAGATGGATGCACACACATGCTTGTACAACAACATATGACACAGCACATGGCGGGCCGAACCGGAAATTAGCCTGGGAAGGTACGATTTGTATGTGGGGTTCAAAACAGCTTTGCGTTTATTACGTCTCAGAAACGTGGTTCTGGCTGTATGTCACATTCAAAACACACTTTTTTCGGCGTAAATGCCCATATCTAAAGACATTTGAAAAAGGCTTTGCGTTTATCACCTTAAAAATTTGACTGAAATACATTTGAAAATACTGATTCTAGGCAAAAAACTGGTCAATAAATGCACCCATAGTGTTCCCTTCATCTCGAAAACCACAGAAACAAGAGCTGCATCAGTACCCCTAAACACCTGAATCAATATTATGCAACAACATGTTGACTAGGTAGGCAGGATTAACTGAATGCATTGTGAGGAGGTGTTGATAACTCAACAGTTTTAAGATTACCTAAAGGTGAAGATAATCACCACAAATCTAACACATTAATCAATCATTATCAACCAATCAACACAAATAGAATAAAGTAGTAAAGTCACTAATATGTTTCTTGTAACAAACTTGTTATCAAGAACAACTGCCACAGATCTATGACAAATCGGTTCATAGCCAATCGACTGTAAGGATTTCATCAGCTTATAACATTTATTGTAACTTGTTATTGATAACAAGTTTTATGAAACAGGGCCTTGGCAATACAAGGGTTAGAGATACATGTGTAACAGCATTGATGAAGCTTAAATTAAACCTTAAAGGTTTAATACACAACAAACATGCATACAGCCAGCAACTGACAGTTATGTTTTTTAAATAGTTAAAATAATAACAATAAAATAAATAAATGAATAAACAAACAACAAATGTTAAAGGAACAAGCAAACAACAAATGAACACAAACAAACAAAATGTTTTCATTGGCCTGACATAGAATGGTATCTATTCACAAGGGACAAAAACCAAGGGGAAAAGCAACTTAAAAGTCAGTTATAAAAACTACGTACCAACACCCACTGAACAGTGCAAGGAGAATGTATGATAAGTTAAAAGCACAAGAGGGCAGTATACAGTTTCAAAGACAAACTTCATTACTATTTTTAACTTTAAAAAAATTATGTACATTTCATGAAAGACAAGATTTTCTATCAATTCTATTTCAATCCGAGATAAAATTAATCTGGGTGCATGAATCTGCAGAATCTTAGATTTAAATAATTCAACATTTTCAAACCATCATACTACAGATCTTTCTACCTCAACAATGGCCGAAAGACGGTTGCAACCTTATAGAATGCAACAATCATTTCAGCTCAGTCTTTCTTATGTGTGGGCCAAACAGTCTCACTTTTCACTATGTTCAGTAGATATCACTGTGAATTCACTATGACTTTAACTTTTCTTCTGTATTGAGGAAAATAAAATAAGGATATTTTATTGATTATGCATTAATAATGCAAATTTAAAGGGATCGCAACTGCCTTCAAAGTACATGGTTATTGCTCTTATTCTTATCTATGACATTTCTAGTGCCCATTTAGGACCTAAAATTGCTATGAAGGTAATTTTAGACCCCAAAATGTGTGAAATTTAGCCAATATGATCATACCAATTCAGCTCCACTTTCAAAAAAATATGGTGACCATTAACTAATTAATAATAACAATACATGGGCCAGCTGGTTGAGGGTAATATAACCAACAAGAAAAAGCCAACATAAAAGCCAACATCGGCATTGGCTGAAATACAACATAAAAGTCGCTATTTTGTTTTTCCAACGGCTTTCAACCACTGGTTCAAATTAGGTCAAATTATATAATATTTGTGGTGGTACACAATTAGAAATCGTTATATTTATGGATAATTCAGCCGTCTCTGAACCGATTTTGATCAAACAAAGATGATTCTGTCATTTAAACTGTATATATTTTTTCAAATTTAACACTCAGTTTTGCATTTTTCTCACAAAAAAAATTATATTGTGTAGCGCCCTCTACAACAGAACTCGACTATCCCTTTAATGACGCAAATAACTTTTATGCAAAGGAATTCCTCACATGCACTCCTATCAAAGAGATTCCATCTCTTTTCTCCTATCAACCAATCAAATACATAGTACTGTACCAGCTTCCAAGAAAGAGTTTGACCTCATGATCAATGAAACTGGCTGATTGACATTCCAAGACAAGTTACAAGTTACAAAACCTGAATTAAAAGATACGTACATTCCTAACAAATTTTGATTTTTATTTATAAAACTTCCCTATCCAACATTCATGTTTCCTTAAAAAAACTCGGTCCACATCGCACACCTACCGTATGTCACACACACACAAAAATCAGGACTTTTTCCATATTTTTTTGGTTCAGGTTGCAATTTTTTCCCTCAAAGATATGAGCGCTCAACCACTAAGTTTAGAACGAGACATCACTTATTGATTAAAAAAGCACACAAAACTATTTTTTCTTTTGTATTTTTAGAACGAGACATCACTTGTCGATTAAAATATCAATTAGGATCTTCGACAGCAGACAAGTGGTGTAAAGAGTTATAGTGCGCGCAAGGTGTACAATTACAAATACGTGTGTGGGACTATACACGGGCTGGACTTTTTGCGTTACTGAAAAAGTGTTCAGAATTCAAGTAATTCATCTACTAAATGACCATAACAGACAAGAAACAAGTCAAAGGTAAGTACAAGAATCAGTGATTATCACTTGACAGAAAGTTATAGACGTTTATCTGAAAAATACTCATAAATAACAAGAAAATTGACACGAAACAGGTAAACACAACGACTTTTAACTCATGATCTTTATTTGGACATTTAATAAATATTTACTTCATTTTGGGTATGTTTCAATAGGGTATCTCTACGCCGGAGTTACGGTTCAAATTTTGGATAGGTTTCTGAACAAGCGCCGATTTTGGTTTATGCCAAAAATTTGCAACTGCTCAAACATTTACAACAAAAAATGCAGCACGTCGGACTATGTTAGACTGCCAGCAAACAGGCACAGCACAGCCCCACTCACTCTAATCATTCTCATCATTGCTCATAGTCTTAGTATCCTCAAACATAGTCAAATAAGGGATCATTTGTTATCTCTCTTCAAATTACATTAGAATTACAACAAAATAGAAAATAACTTACCGGTACGCAGTTCGATGTTTTCTTGATGACAAAAATTGGCAAGTGTGTCGTCAAAACGTCCAATCGAAAAGGAAAACAGAAAATTTCGCGAATCTCAGATGTAACCTATACTATAGATTTGAATGCTTTTATACCTACAGTATGATGTTTAGCTAAATAACCACCTTTTAAAAAAATGAATTTGAACAGCTTTTCTTTAATTTCATAGATTACAGACCAAAAGCTTCTGTCTGAATCTCAAACTTTAGAGGAAGGATACTAATTAGGGGAGTAAAAATTGTGAGAGGTTATATAAGAAAAAGGCCTACTTTTTTCCGTGGGCGTAGGCTGGACCCCGTTGCGTTTGCACCCAAATGCTATATATTTTCACAATACTTCTTACCTATTAGTGTGACTTGTGACCAGTGTTTAGTTTTCAAGTTTCAGGTACATTTACTATGATATTATTAATAATAATATAATAATAAATATTTATAAAGCTCACTTATCTAATAACTTACTCAAGGCGCTATACAAAACAAAATACACAAATCTCTCTCCAGAATGTTAACAGCATAATATAGTAACTCTGAGTTAAAACCGTTTTATCATGTTTCGAAAAAATTCTAGGCATTGAATGTTTCGAATGGCACTTGGCAGCTTGTTCCAGATGACTAGTGCAACATGCACGGTCCCCATAGTTGGTGGTTCGGGTTCTGGGGACTTCTAGGATGGCCTGAGAGGCAGAAGAACGGAGTGAGTAATGAGATTACTTTATGGTGAGGAGATCTTTCAGGTACTCAGGTGCAGTATTGTGGAGTGCCTTAAAGACGAGCGTTAGACTTTTGTATTCAAAACCATCTTGAGTTTGCTTTCATATCTTTTAAATAATGACTGTAGAAGCCCAACTTTAAAAGAAAGGGAAGGGCTCTTGTAAACGCGAAAATAAAGAAAGGGACATGAAAAGGAGGAAAGGACGAGAAAGGCGACAACTAGACCACTACCCGTTTATGATATACAAGTCGTGAGAGTGTACCGGATTAAAAAGATATATTTCTTATAATTTGACAATTAAAACAAAAAACAAAAAACAGAAAACAGAAAACAAAACAATTACATGTTATATTAAATATATTTTCTATTTGTTGGATTCGCGGAATATAGTTGTATTATTGACACATGCATTCACATAAATACGAAATTAAACTAAATCCGAATCAGGCGACAATTACAATGACGGATCAAGCACTATAGTGGGCACACATCAAGTGCACACTCTCCACCCCCCCCCCCCCCCCCCCAATCAGGATGCCCCCGGTAGCACTAGATCCCCTTAGGCAGGGCTGTCAACTTTGGGAAACTGCTTGGAGGGAGATTTTTTTTAGAGAGAAAATATTAAGTGCCAAATCCAGCCAGCCGCTGAATGAGCGGGGAAATTTCGCAACGACTCAGCCAGCCGCTGAATAACCGGGGGTGGGGGGGGGGGGGGGGGGGTAAGAGCACATTTTTTTTTGGGGGGGGGGGTATACGGTACGGTTTGGCCTAGGCACCGTCACAATGTGATAACTAAGGTTCATCCATGCTTTCTATCAGCAGAACAATGAAATATATATAACTTCATAAAGCTGTAATTTATCAGCCCTCTACTCGATCAGATTAATTAAGAACCTAAAAGTGTACCATGCCGCAAGATGTCTCTCACATAACATTTATAAATTATTATGTACGCCCTCAAGAGGTGAATACTTGCTTCAAGTCAACACAGAAAACCATGACGAGTGTTTGAAAATTAAGGTGCCATACAATACAGGTCTAGTTGCACACAATACTAAACATAAAACAGTCCTCCATATTTAGATGTGAATCTTGACACTGACAGGAAAATACGTAACACAACCTGGAGGGGGAAAATTCAAGTAGAAAACACAAGCTTGCCCTACCTTTTTTTTATGTTGCAGTTCTGTATTGATATCACTGTAAAATTCTATTCAACTCAATTGAAAATTAACATCTATTTCCTTCTGAAAGGAATAAATGTGGTGGAAATGCTTAATTTCAGACCTGGTATCAACACAGGCTGAAAAGTGATATCTTCTTTGATTAACCTTTTCTTTTGAAGTCGTTGTTTAATTCAATTTACAAGAGGTTAATGTAATAATTACGGTATGTTTTGCAATCATTCATTCGTCTACTTCTCTATAATATTCTTGAGCCGAAACTATAATTTTAATTTTATCATTGTTATGTCTCTAGAGTCTTTTTTTTTTCCTTCCATTATTTAAACATCTTCTGGACATTTCCAACGCAGCTTCTTCATAAATTGTTTGTATAATATAATATAATATAAAATATGAAGTACTGGTTCTTTAATGTATTCGTTCTCCTAGCTTCCTTATTTGCCTGAAGCCCACTAAGCCTATGTATCTATTCACTTCCTTTACCATGTTTTCTTAACTTCTATATACCGGTCAACCTGCATGATTTAAGACATTCTTGTCAGTGCGATATTACACGTTCTCATATTTTGTTCTTTTCTCAGTTTTATATTTCATGGTTTCAGTTTACCTACTTGATATTGAATTATGCAATAGTTTTTAAGCCAGAATTAATTCCTCATGTTTATGTTCAGTATCGTGTCATGACCTAGTGTCATCATACATATTAATTTGATTTCCTCCTTGTGCTTTGTTTTTGTTAGCTGGTTTGTTTATGAACTGTTATGCATTTTGTTTACCTTCATGCTATATTTTGCAGGTCTTCTGGGTGCACCAGTTGGTCGGGAAGAGGGACCATTACGGTTACAGTGATTACGTTTGCTTTCCTCTTCCCCGGCAGCCAACTGATGCACTCAGGGGACCTCTAGGAGATTGAGCATTTATAATTGACATTCTTTTAATGTTTGTTTACTCATATTTATATTTTTATATTTTTGTGAATTGCCAAATAAATAACAATAATAATAGTATTGATCAAACATGCCAAAATGGAATAAAGGCGATAAACCGTTGAGGGAGGAAGAGAGACAGTTAGAGGGGCAGGCAGGGATAGAACGAGGGTCAGAGGGACAAAAGAAGGGGATAATGGGAATGATGATGATCTGGATGAAGATAAGGGTGGTGGTGGTGGTGGTGGTGGTGGTGGTGGTGGTGGTGCGATGGTGGTGGAGGTGGTGGTGGGGTGGTGGTAATGTTGGTGATGGTGACGACAACGATTATGATGCTGCATGAGGAGCAGGGGGTGGAGAAGAGGAGAGAGAGAGAGAGAGAGAGAGGGAGAGAAAGAAGACAGGGAAAGAAAGAATTGGAAAGAGAGAGGGGTAAAATGAAATAACCATGTATAGATGGTTGGAGAGAGCGAAAGAAAGACAGACATAAAGACAGAAAGACAGAAAGACAGAGAGGGAGACGCAGAGAGAGAAATAAGCAGATGTAAAGATAATGGGATAGAGAGGGAGAGAAAGAAGACAGGGAAAGAAAGAATTGGAAAGAGAGAGGGGTAAAATGAAATAACCATGTATAGATGGTTGGAGAGAGCGAAAGAAAGACAGACATAAAGACAGAAAGACAGAAAGACAGAGAGGGAGACGCAGAGAGAGAAATAAACAGATGTAAAGATAATGGGATATGGAAAGAAAGGGAGATACTTTGTGGACATCATAAAGAGACTCCATCCAATAACGCATTCCTGCGATGCGCTAATACTTCATCAGACTCTCGAGTACCTTCTGAAGATGCTCACTCTAGATCACCTAGTAACCGTGAATGGATGTCAGTCTGGTTGAGCGACACTCAATCTTTTATGAAGTTAAGCAAGATAAACAGAATAACATAGCGATGACTTCCTAAAGTTTGCGGATGACGGGAGAGCTCGTTCAAGAATAACCTCTTTGCATAAGTACATATTAAGTACATTCTATTATCACTTTAGTTTTCTTTTTGTTACTTGTAATACAAGAATGATAATGAATAAGTAAAATCGGAAATTAAGACATGGAGGAGCCTGAAGTACAAGCAGAGCTTGTGAGAGCAAGCAAGTGAGAATTGACAGTATCAAAGTTATCAGAAAACTGTGCATTGTTAGAGCTGTCGGCTGCACTCTAAAAAAAATGAAATGTGGTTGAATCAATATTCGAAGGCAAATGAGTGATAGATTTTCCACAATAATAAATTTTATACTAATATGACAAGGCAGATGCTATACTTTGGTGTTGATTGAGCAAAAGATAAGGAAACTCTGAAAACGAATTCACTCCTCAGCTATTTATTTGTAGCGTGATTTTAAACTTGATTTCCTAGACTCCCGAGAGCATAAAGATCAAGTGGATTTACAGCTGATTTACAGCTGATCTAATCCCGCACTTGTCTTTTCAATTTATCAGACATCTTCTCCTCTCTCTTGTCTTGTTTGCAAAGACTTTGGAAGATATAGTTAAGATTATGAAATTTTAACAAAATGACAAGGAAGAATTGTTCTTTAAAAAAGAAATATGATGCTTCCATCTCCTGACTACCCAAGTTGCTATGGAAACGACACAGACAGCTTTTGTCTAATTAATCAATATTCACCTACGATCATCACATAACTGATTTGCTAAGTATAGAAATCCATTGTTTGATATGCGATTTCTCTCCTCATAATGCCCAGCTGTGTTGACAAGCCTATTTTTAATTATAACTATGGAATAATTCTCATCAACATGGCTTTCAAAATGCATGTGTCTCGATGGAAGCGACGGAACACGGGTCTCAGACAAATGTATTCGGGGAGTCTATTGACGGAAGGCAAGCCATAATCATCACTTTTTTCTTTTACCTCATACCCTCCTTTCTTTCTTTTTTGTCTTCCCTTCTTTCTTTCTTATCTTCTTTTTACTTAAACATTTCACCGTAAAAAATAAATAACAAAAACAGATAATACTCTGTGAGACTAGTAAATGGGATTCATATTGAATGTCAATTTGTTGTCTAGGCGAAGTTCTGCATTGATAAGCAGAAATATTTCATTATTAAAACATTGTAAGACACAACAAAGATTACCCTTTGTATGGAGCAAGGATGTACGTGTGAACACTGTATAAA